ATAAGGTTGGACAGAAGAGGAAATACAAATACTTTGAAAGAGACTCTGCTGGCTGCGGATCGTCTCATAGGATGCAGCTCACCTAAGTCTCTGTATCAACCATGTCCCTGCGCCCTCTAGGCCACTAGACATACATGTGCCTATACAACAAAAATGTACAGCAAGTGTAGTATGAGTACGAAAATAACGCGTACCCAGTAAGTATCCAGTCTAACCTCGAAGAAGTAATGACGAGGGGTCAACTTCAAAACTTACTAGTGGTCCAATAATATCAGGTACAGTAAAGAAGTGAATGAATATGAGACAAAGTAAATATATGAAACAAACAAGTATAAAATACGTGGCACAATTCTCCTCTTTATAATTTTACTCGAGCTCTAAACTAGCAAGTTCCCTTTGTAACCGGAGCATATATATATTGATATAGTGGATTTAATCAAAGAAGTTGTCATGATTCAAATCAGGGAGAATCCCTCAGATACACTGGCTTCTTGCCAAATATTCCATGATTTCATGTATTTAACTCACTATGTGCAGGAATTACTTACCTCATAATGATGATGAACCCCCTCTTCAAAGGCTCCAAAAATCGCCCCTCCGGAGTGTAAATGTGAGAAAAATGAGCCAAAAACCCATTTTTTATAAAACACACTCCCCAACCTGACCTCTCGCACATGCGGTCTACCAGTCGCTTCTGCGGCTATGCACCTGCGAAAATTCCCATCGCAGGTGCGGTTTCGACTAAACTCAACCACGTTGCTTCTGTGGGCTGAATCCGCTCATTTGGTTCACTTCTGCGGAGCCCCGATCGCTCCTGCGGTCTCGCTTCTACGGGAGCTGTGTCGCACTTGTGCCCCAGCCAAGCCCAGTCCGATTCTGCTTCTGCAGCTTCCTTCCTGCTTCTACAGTCTCGCACCTGTGGTGTCCAATCCGCAGGTACGATTACACCAACAGTCCTCAACTTCAGCAGGTCTTCAACTTTAAACCTTGATCTGTTAACCATTCAAAATCAACCCGAGGCCTTCGGGACATCAAGCAAACATACCAACAAGTCCTAAAATACCATACGAACTTAATCAAACCCTCAAATCACATCAAACAATGCTAAAAATCACGAAACGCCCTCCAATTCAAACATAAAGAACTTGAAACTTCAATTTCTACTTTCGATGCTGAAACCCATCAAATCACGTCCGATTGACCTTAAATTTTGCACACAAGTCACATTCGATATTACAGACCTGCTCCAACTTTCGGAATCAGATTCTGACCTCAATATCAAAAAGTCAATTTTCGATCAAATTTCTCAAAACCTTCAAATTTCTAACTTTAGCCAAACGACTCCAAAATGACCTACGGACCTCCAAATCTACTTCCAGACGCGCTCTCAATACCAGAATCACCATATGGAGCTATCCCCAAACTCGGAATCCCAAACAGACATTGATTACTTTGAAATGCACTTCAACCCAAATTTATGAAATTCTTCCAAAATGCCAACTTCCACAATAGGCGTCGAAACGCTCTCGGGTCATCCAAAACCCGATCCGAATATATGCCCAAGTCCGAAACCATCATACAAACCTACTGGAACCTTTAAATTTCGATTCCGAGGTCATTTAATCAAAAATCTATCCTTAATCAATTCTTCCAACTTAAAGCTTCCAAAATGAGAATTCTCTTTCCAAATTGACTCCGAACTCCCTGAATTTCAGTTCCGACCACGCGTACAAGTCATAATAGCTGAAGTGAAGCTACTCATGGCCTCAAACCACCGAACGACGCGTCAGATCTCAAAACGACCGGTCGGGTCGTTACATTTTTATGCGGATGCATCCTGAAATAACAGTGTAGATGATGGTGAATGTTTATTGAATTTTTATGTTCTCCGACTAATTTTTATTCAGTTGATTAAGGAAGTAGATAGACCTTTTGTTTGAAAGATAAATGCTAAATATGTCAGCTTTAAAACATGGATTAGAAAGAGAGAAAAAGTGATTTGCAGTTAAAATGGAGATAGATGATGTAGAACTCATGCACAAGTAATGCTAAGGTACCTTTAGTGGTAGCAAATGGATTGTTGGGTTGTATTTGGGCTAGTTTAAATAGGTTGATCATTAAATGGGTCATTGCCTAATCATGCCCAAAGTTCACTTGGATCAAGATGGACTGGGTCAATATGGACTAAACAATGGGTCGTAACCCAATCCGCCCAAATTGACTCAAATCTTGCAATATTCTCAACATTTAAACAAGCATATACAAAAATTATCTTATGTTTTGGAATAAATATCAATTCATACCAAATGATTTCTTTCTTCAATTTATGTGGGGTGGGGGTAGGGGAGGTGGCTGGGGTGGTGGGAGTTGGTGGAGATGGAGAATGTTGAAAAAAAAATTGGAAAATATTTTCCCTTCTCTTTCTCTTGATGGGGAAAATATTTTTCAAATATTTAAACCAATCAAACATGAAAAATTAGAAAATATTTTCCAGCACATGGGTCAAGATAGAACTATAAGATTGAGCATAAAAATGGTCAAGGTTGGACATCATCATGGGTCTAGTTGGCTGATGATTTTTGATGGGTTAACATGAACTAGCCCAAAACAACAAAATTGTTCTAACCCGAACCCATTAAAACTTGGGCGAGTTAAATAAAGGAATTTTTACCTCCTATAGTAAAGGTTAACACCTTATTTATTTTAAACAAATACCATTTAAACAAATTATATTCTATAGATACCTTTTAAGGTTTATAGCAAAATATTTAATTTTGGTTACCTCCTAGCCCTAAGCCACTAAATACGCTATTCAGTTACACTATTTTCTTTCTCTCTCTACTTTGATATATCTCATTCTCTTCCCCTATCCCATTAAAATTTCCGCTCTCCTCCTCCTTCTAATGGCATCTTCTCAACTGAAAAATCCAGCGACCAGCAGCACAACAACAACATACCCTAACCTGAAGACCCAATCATGTCGAAGCAAATCCACGAAATCGTTGGTGATTATCTCGTCGTATTCCATCGTTGAAGACCCAATCTCACCAAGTTTACAATGCTTGACTTCATCACATATTTATCTTTCATTGATGCTTGGACTTCATTCCATGCGGATAACTAGGCAAGCAGCCAATTAAGTTTCGATTTAATATTCTGTAAGTTCCGGTTCAATTAGCGTTCTGCAAGATCTTTGAAGATGGAAGGACTATTTGGCTACAAGGCGGGAATTAGGGTTTGTTCTTGAGCAAAGATGACGGAGTTTTGGGGCTGAGCAACTTGATTTTCTGTTAATATATTTCAATGTATTTTCAACGTATCATGCTGTATTTTCATGTATTTTATTGTATTCATTGTCTTTTTCTATTATAATTTAATGTATCTCGTTGTATTCCGTGTATTTCATTGTATTCCTTGTCTTTTTTTTCATTATTTTTTCAATGTATCCCATTGTATTCTATGTATTTTATTGTATTCACTGTCTCGCTATATGCCATGAATGTATTCATATATTTTTTAATTAATATAATTTATGTATTCAGATGTATTATATAATTTCTCTGAAGATTGCTATATGTTTGGGGTATTTTTCAGTTGAAAATCTTTTTTATAACCAGAAATACAAATTTTGTGTGTTATAATTGAGTTTATTGAGTTATATTAGGAGTCGATTATGTTAATTGATACACTTTCCGTTTAAAAATAGTGTAAGCCCCTGTTTCACGCCGTGAATACAGTAATTTGTCCAGCTGTAATCCCATGTTTCACGCGATGAATATAGTCGAATACACTAGAATACAACAACTGATTAGCTGGACTTCCCTGATTCACGCCTATTTTTGCTACTGTATTCATGAATACAATAGCTTAAATACATCAAATACATCTTATAACCACAGAAAAGATATCTATAATCCGTAATATAGCAAATGATAACTATAGATGACTAATTACTACTAAAAGATAGTGCTTTATGAAAATTTCCCTTAAATAAAATGGGTTTGGATTAGTTTTGCGTACCTTTAGTGGATTTTCAATATGAGGCCTTTTTCATTGAATGAAAATCCTATTGCACGAGTGTTCTACCACTTTCCAAAGGGTGAAATTAAAAAATAGCCAGATTCACAAATGGTCATTCAAAAATAGCCATATTTTTAAAAGTAATCAAAATTTAGTTATTTTTTATGTAAAGATAAATCTGAACGAAAACACTGTTCAAAATTCGGAAAAATACTCTAGTATAATATACTGGAATTCTAGTATATTATACTGGAGTTCCGCTATAACATACTGAATCTCCAGTATAATATACTGGAGTTCCAGTATAATATACCGATCCAACAGAGTATTATACTGGAACTTTCCGCGTATTGAAGTTCCAACATAATATGCTGAATTTCATACACAGGTGCACCGATTTCTAATATATTATGCTGGAACTTTCCGTGTTGTAGCAAAGTAATGACTATTTTTAAATGACCAATTCAAAAATTGACTAGTCCGTGCTATTTTGACCTTTCCAAAAGGCCCTTCGTGACTAATCAAGGTCCGACATGATCTGCAAGGCGAAGTAACACCAATTTCTAACTGGTAAGCTGCAATAACAACTTACTAGCAAATAAAGCAGAGAACTTTTTGTTTTTTTCTATTAGAGTAGTGAAAGTCGCAAGCTTATTGTAGTCAGTCCTAAGGAAAAAACCTCGGTACTTGCTATTATCCCGCATATACTGAGACTATCCCACTCTGACCTAGCTGCTATCATTAAAGGTAAGTAACATAAATAAAACTTTTCCAAGGAACATAATGTATGAAAGGGAAGGAGCATCCTTTATTTCCAAGCTTTATTTCTATTATAATTTATTCCTTCCCCCCCCCCCACACACACACACAGAGTTGTTCATTTTTGGGGTGCATCGACCCGGGGAACTTTGAGGACAACTCTTTTCTTTTGAAAATAAAATAAAATAAGTTTTTCTATTATATTGAGGGATCAAGGAAGGGAAAGGGAAAAGGGGGACAGTGAATTGAACCAATATTAATCCAGAAGAACAAGTAAAATCTCTGTTTCCTTGTATTACAAGAAAGTAAAACATTGTACCAAAGCTTTCTATTAGTGCTAGGAAAGTTAGAACACATTGCAATCATGTTAAACTGTGCATTTTTCTTTGATAACTCCATTGGGAGTATCAGTAATCACAGTCAAAGTAGGCTTCTCATTTGTGAGAACTTCAACAGGTATCAGAAGAGGCTCCAAGGAATCTACAATATCTCTCATTAAAGGTCGTGCTTTTGGGTTGCGATTTAGGCAATGATAAGCAAGCATTGCAGCTTTATGAACAGCTTTTATGGGATAATCTCCATCGAGTCTTGGATCTATAACGTTGAGCAACTTTTTCTTTTCTCTAAGCAATGGTAGAGCCCAATCAGTAAGGTTTTGTTCTCGGGCTGGTTTGGATTTGTCAAGTGATTTTCTTCCTGTAAGAAGCTCGAGTAGAACTACACCAAAACTATAAACATCACTCCTCGGAGTCAAATGACCTGCAGATAAAGTGCAGGCATTAACTGTGATAAAGATATAGAAACAACATTAGGTGAACCTGTGAATATCATTCAAGGATGATAGTATGACTATTCCTGATTCGAGGGTCTATCGGAAGCAGCCTCTCTACTCCTCCGGGTAGGGGTAAGGTCTACGTATACACTACCCTACCCAAACCCCACTTGTGGGATTCCACTGGGCTGCTGCTGTTGTTGATGACAGTATGACTATCATGATTCTGTCGGCACTTCTTTGCCAAAGACATCGACTATGTATTTTCAGCTTCGACACTTCTATCCGAACACATAACTACGTATTCTTAAATTCAATCCAGCATTTAAAAAGTGCTTCTCATCATGTGGTGCTTAAAAGATCCTCAAATTTAGCTAAGCCAAAGGGCTCTATGCTGTTTTAATCGGATGTTATTTTGCACATATGCTATTAAGAGAGACGATAGGTTTCTAAAGAAAGATTAGCTTACCTGTCATAATATATTCAGGGGCAGCATATCCATAGGTTCCCATTATGCGAGTAGAAACATGAGATTTGTCCCCAACTGGTCCATCTTTTGCCAGGCCAAAATCAGAGAGCTTAGCATTGTACTCCTGTATGTGTAAAAAACTTCCGCGTATTATCCCTCAAAGCTGAAAAAATTGGCATGAAATGATGCATGAATGAAATTTAGATGTAGAAAACTTACCACATCTAACAGGATATTAGATGTCTTAAAATCACGATAAATTACAGGTTTCTCGGCTTCATGCAGAAAAGCAAGTCCTTTAGCTGCACCAAAGGCAATCTTCATTCTAATGGACCATGGAAGAGGAAGTAACACTCCTGCAACCAAAAAAACCTCGCATAAGCATCGTGGCATCTAATACGACTAACCAAAAACCAAAGGCAAATTTCAAATTTGAAAACAGGATAACGTAGATAAGAAACATCCATTCATGTAAATATAAGCGCAACTTAATCAATACTACCGTTTACTAAACACTCTTGGTAAATCTCGAAATAAGTAGTTCCCATCAACCTTTCTAATGAGGGAACATATCTTGAGGAATCTATGCTTCAGAAACAATTCAAATGCTTTAAAAGTTTGTTCTCTGCTTCAAATGTATAGTCTACAAGGTAAAGGTAAAAAACCAAGTGGTAACATAAGAAAATGTAATTCTGATTATATTACAAGAAGAGATTCTAGGCATGCTGACTGCAGATAAATTTGAAAGCTAGTTGTCCAGATTCCAACATTTTCTTGATCAAGCCAATGCGGAAAACAACTTGTATTATCCTCAAACGGTAGAGGGGAAATTAATTATGAAAGAGGAGTCATAAAGATATAAATTCTTTTTCTTCTTTAAGAAAATTAGTGTTCAAGAACCCTGTCCAATAAGGTGAGCAACATGATAACTTAATGCTTGAGCAATGGATAGAACTTATGCAAAAATATACCAATCATTTTAGGGTAAAAGGTACTCAAGTATGCAGGTGAAATTCTTGAAATAGACATGTCTTACAAATTAATTTTCATTTTACACTTTCTCATATAGAAACAGAAAGAAGGGAGCCTTGGCGTAACTGGTAAAGTTGCTGCCATGTGACCAGAAGGTCATGGGTTCGAGCTGTGAAAACAGCCTCTTGCAGAAATGCAGGCTAAGGATGTGTACAATAGACCATTGTAGTCTGGCCCTTCCCCGGACCCCGCGCATAGGGGGAGTTAGTGCACCGGGCTGTTTTTTTTTTTTTTAAAGCAGAAACCATGTAAGATTAAAAGGTTTTCTCCAGAGGAGAAAGTTTTCTTTTGCAGTGAAGAGTAGGGGGATCACGATTAGTCATTACACAAAATGACATTGATTGAATAGGGTCAGAAAGGGGCCACATATGCACTGATCCAGAATATCATGGAAAAGCTTTTCTTTTCCTTCTTTTTCCCTTTTGCTTTTACATTTTAGGAGGTATTCAAGACAACATTATTTGAAAGTAGCTCCACTTAAAGATACTATCATAGTTTACGCTTGTCCAATGGTCCCCCTTAGGCAAAACTGTCACTTCCCATGCCTGAGAAAAATGAACACTAATCATAGCATAGCTTAATGGGAAATGATATCATGAAAGTACATCCAGACTCATGTTAGAGCTTGGAGATAGAGGGTAGGACGGATTTCAAATTAGAGTACGGGCACGCCAAGTTAAAAAAAATAATAGTTAGGTGGAAGGCTTAGGAGGAATGGGATCAGGATGCACTTCAAAAGTTTTTCCTAATGTCCAGATCAGCCAATCTCCGAATGTGTCTCGAACAACTTTCTTCTAAAACCCTTTCAGTATTATGAATACAGATCATGAAAATGAACATCTAAAGTATAACATTCTAGAAAACGAACTGAAAATACTTACTCGAGAACAAATTGTTTTCTACACTTCCCCGAGCCATATACTCGTATATAAGAACCCGATGATCAGCTTCACAGCAGTAACCGATCAACTTTACCAAGTTTGGATGCGAAAGTTGGCCAAGAAATATCACTTCAGCCTAACAGATGCAAAAAAAGAGGAGTGAAAAATCTGTTCAGACAATTAGAGAAAACTTCAAAACCTCATGCAAATTTTTTTGTCAGGCTAATTACCAGCCATTCCCTGTGGCCTTGATAACTATTATCTCCATCATGAACCTTAACAGCAACTGTAATTTGTTGGAATCCTTCCCTTAAATCTTCAGTAATATATCCTTTATAAACATTACCAAATCCTCCTCCCCCCAGCATGTAATCTTGTCTAAAGTTGCCAGTCATTATCTTAAGTTCATCGAAAGAGAACGCAATCAATGGATTTGTAGCTGAACTACGGCGCAAGTCTTCTACTTCTTCAGGATTTGAAGGCATCTTAGTATGATCTATCCTTGCTTTTTGAGATGGACTCTGACCCTTAGGAGACTCTGAAAGGAAGTTAAAGTGCAAAGCGATATATTCACCATTGTTAACATTTATTTGAATAGTTCATGAATCAAGAAGACAACTTTTAAGTGGTTTATCTCTTTCTCAAATTACCTATCAAGTAAAGCATCAGATAATCTAATGACGTGAGAAACCTGGTAAAAAGCTCTAATTATAATATTGTGCATGTTAAGGATGCAACATAAAAAATTCTGTTTTATAGTGTTATTCCAGATCACATTGATTAAACAATTTAAATAACATGCACCACATTAGGCCCTTTCCCGAACCCTGTGTGAACGCGAGATGCTTTGTGCACCGGGCTGCCTTTAAATAACATGCATCTTCTTTTGATATTCAGCTAAAAAAATTAAATTGACACCAAAAATGAAAGCTACCTGTTAATTTAAAATAGAAAATAATTGATTCGAGAACATAAAACTTAGTAGGTCCTGTAGACTGTTTAGTCACAAAAATGCAGCAATTACTCTAAAAATTATAAGAAAACCATTCCGTTTAAGTACATATTATGCAGAGTAAAGATTTTTTCCACTCCAACCTATAAACTGTTCATGTCAAATTTGAAACATCCTTATCCATTTCATGGAAAGAAAAGCCATTTCATTCAAGTACATATTATGCAACATAAAGATTTTTTTCCCCTCTTAATATCTGAACCGTGAAGGGGAGACTTGGCGTAACTGGTAAAGTTGTTGTTATGTGACTGGAGGCCACGGGTTCGAGACGTGAAAATAGCCTATTGCAGCAATGCAGGGCCTGGCCCTTCCCCGGACCCCGCACATAGCGGGAGCTTAGTGCACCGGGCTACCCTTTTGGCCTCTTAATATCTGAACCGTCCATGAGTGAAAAGTTAAGCAAATTATAAGGTGCATAATTTCGATAGGATTGATATATATATAACAAAATTGGTACTCAAGGGCTAAAGAGTTCTCCTCTTGAGGCATACATAGATGAACCAAAAAGAAGAAAACAGAAATTATAAAGGCAGAGCACTTGCAATTTGCAAAGCTTTTGAATTTTGCAGTGGACTGAAAGTCTGAAACTAGTATATGAATTGACAGTTGAAACTATAAAGTCCAATTCTATTATTAAGAGTTAAAAGATGAAAAGGTAAACTTTAATCAAGGATATGTTATAGGATTTGAAACAAAGTAGTAAAATTAATTAAATAAAAGCCAAAAGATGAAAAAGAAAACCAGTATATAGAAGAGTCTTGAAAGCAGAAACCCCTTTCTTTTTTCTATTGCAGTTCTTGCCAAGTATAAGGAAACTATTGAAAATCCAAATACTTAGAAAATAAACGTGGAAAAGAGAAAAGAATCTTAATATATTCTTTATCTTAGAGTGTGTTAAAATTTAAAAACACTACTATTTATTACTGTAGAAAATAAAGGGAACATTGGAAAAATCGTCCAAGAATAAAGATCATTAAAAGAGCCAATAAAAAATAAATTAAGACCAAGAATTATTAAAAAGAGAACTAAATACAACATAGGAGTCGCAAAAGCCAGAGAATTATTAGTCCTCTGCTTTGGAAAAACAAAATGAATACGTCAGAGCGAAAAATAGCAGAAACAGAAACATAGAATATATAGATAAAACATAGTGAGCTAATGATCAAATACAAAATAGAAGGAAACAAGACTTTAGGAGAAAGACTGACCAGATTTTGCATTAGAAGAGACTCTGTATATTGAAGGTTGCCCTCCACAGCAGCAATTACCCATTTTAGAACACAGCCAAAGTAATTAAACAAACCCCACTTTCTCAAAAACCGAACCGACCCATTACAACTCACAAAAAAACCAGGCTAAAAACGCAGATAAACAAGATAATTAGCCTAAAACCAAAGAAAAAGAAAAGATTTTCAGAGGGAAAGAAGTGGAAAAAGTGAATGGGAACTCAATGAAGAAATGAAGTAACTAATAATAGTAGCTAGTTCGTTGCATATTTGAGTGTGAAAACTGAAAATGGATTTTATTTCTTTTTCAAGGTGACAATGATGGAGAGAAATGAGAAGAAAGTGGGGGGTTTGTGAGTGGAAGTGGTGTTGTGTTGTCTTTAACAAGAGAAGGCTAGTTGTATTGTTGTTGGGATTTTTTTGTGCGCCTTCACTTTCACTATTTCTGTTGGGTGATCTTAGTGCGTCCACCCTATTTAAAATGGAAAAAAGAAAACTTATTCAGACTTTTATATTCTTATCAAATCATATATCTATATCTATATTATATTAAAAAGAAAGTAGCGAAGCATGTGGTTAAAACAAGTGACAATCTAAAATGAAGTCACTTGACAATTGTAAGACAACATTAATAATTATAAATTATAAATTGAACATAATTAATGGAAGTAGTTTAATGAATCCTATACATAATCTAAATAGATCGTAGAAAAATCTATATTTTTTTTCTTCAAAGTGAGAAAATAAAGTAAGCATTAATTAGAGAAAAGAATATAAGAAAATAGTATTAAACATAGGCAGAATTGATAGTTAATATAATATAGATTTTATATCATTGTAAAATATTATATCTTCTATATTATTTCTTTAAGTACAATCTATGCAAAAGCTTTTTCCTTTTGAATAAACGTTCTTCAAAATTTTTAAATTAATACTTTGAGTAAATATAGGTAGGAGAAAAAGGTATGAAATATTCTATTGACATTATCGTAAAAATGAAAGAAAAAATTTCTTTTTGAAACATGTGATAGACTAAAAGTCCAATAATAACTAAAAGAAAAAATCATTATGGCATAATAATATATGATCACTGATATGTAAATCTATATAATTAAAGTTACAAAAATCATACCAATTTTATAAGTCTTTCATCACACAAATAAGGAAAAGATTAGGTAAAGTTTTAATTTACCTTTAATTTTAAACTTAAATAAATCTAGATTTTGATTTACGGATGTTGATGCACAGGAATAAGGAGATCATAAATAAAGATATTTGGACTACCGATTGACTTTATTGAAGTTCAGTATAATTATCATTTTTTCAATGGTATTATTTATTCTAATCTATATTTAAAAAATTAATTAATTATCCTCATTATTACTGGAAGATGTTTGAAATAGATGAAGTGTTTTATGTTTTTCTATATGAAAACTTAAATACCACATCATACGTGGTAATCGGTTGAATCATATGAGTCCACTATTATGTAAACTAGCAAAAGCATTTTAATGTCGTCCAACAAAGAAAATAAGTTATACAAAAGAAGTATTGGTTGTAGTCTGGACATCGTTTATTATGGAAAAATATATTTTTGTTCCTTAAAATAGTTTTGAGGCTCTTTTTTACGGTTAAACTTAGTTATATCGTATTGGAATGGTTAAGATTGTTGGACTGTATTCCTTAAATAGATTTTCAAAGTAATAATCTTAAATCGCATCTTAATCATATATGTAAGCGAGATGATGATAATGATGGATTGGGTGACAAAAATTAAAGAACTTAAACCGAGTGTGTCATATTATTTGCTTAAAGAAGGTTTCATAAGAAGTGAGTTTTTCCATTTGAAGTTGTAGAAAATAAAGCGCTAAAAGTTACCGAGGGCCGATAACCCCTACCAAAAGGGTAGGTCTGCCTATGTATCAAAGGATTATGGTGGGATGAATAAGATACATTTACCTTTAATTAGGGTTTCAGGTTAGGGATGAGGAAATTTTTGGTACAAAATACTTTCCTCTTTAATTGGCTTTACGTAGCACGAATACGAATTAATTGCGGCCGCGATACGAAAATCAAATGCCGTATGAAAAATTAAAAGAAAAATTACATTTAAGTTTCATGGTTAATTCTCTGCGCTGACTGTGTAATTTTTTTTCATAGTAGGTAAAGCAGACATGCAACAACAGATAACTTTCTATATCAGATCTGATTTGTTAACATATAAAAAGAATAGTAATCTGCAATAATCGATTAAATTTGCACTGATGGTATAAGAATCCTTATGTCATTAGTTATACTCCCTTCGGTCCACAATAAGTGATCAATTTGCTTTTTTATTTTGGTCCAAAATAAGTGTTCATTTATATAATTAAGAAAGAATTTAATTTGTTTTTACAAAATTACCCTTATGTACATATCCCTAAAAAGTTTTCTTACTCCTCACATTAAATATTTAAGGCAAAATACCTTATCACTCCCCTAAACTTGTCACGGATTATTAGTTACAGACTTAAACTATTCGTGATCTTAATTACCCGCATCAACTAGGCCTTTTAAGAGCCATTACCCCCCCTAGACGCTGATGTGGCAAATTGTGTGGGTGCACTCGCCTGCCACATGGATTTTTCTGTATATGTGGCATTTTTTTGAAAAATAAAATATATATTTACCTTTTAAAGTGTGTTAAAACTTGGATAGAACTATATTATTTAGGCTAAATTTTTTTAGTTGGCTAAAATAATAAAGTTTTAGTTAATCTTTTTTTGAATTTGACATGAAAATAAAGATTTATACAATTGAAATAAATAGTCAAGACATCTAAACAGTTATAAAAATACATAGTTTGAAATTAATTGTTTTGGCTATAATTTTTTATTTAGCTCTAAATTATGGTGCTCTAAAAATATACTTTTTACATATTTTACCTAAAAAAGTAAAAATACACAGTTAAAATAAATAGTCATTGCATCAAAAGAAGAAATAAAAAGAGTGAAGAATTGCAAGAAATAACTTATTATTTCTCATATACTTATTGATCTAAAACAATACTTATTGCAGAAATGCAGTGTAAGGCTGCGTATAATAGACCCTTGTGATCTTGCCCTTCCCCGGACCTCGCGCATAGTTGGGAGCTTAGTACACCGGGCTACTCTTTTTTTTATTGCTCTAAAAATGTATTCATAGAGTAAGTTATTTTTTGCAGTTGTACACTCTTCTTCTTTTGATACAATGACTATTTATTTTAACTGTGTATTTTTACTTTTTTCACGTAAAATCTGTAAATATATATATATATA